ATATGTCAACTGACTCTTCAGAAACTGCCCCTAGAAGAGCATGATGTAAAAAAGAAAAATGGCTCATAAATTCTCCAAAGTTTAAAAAATCATTAAGAAGGAACCAGCGTTTTGAATTGAACGAAATTTGAGCCACATGTAAAATGGAGCTTTGGTTATACAGTGTTGTACCCATTATCCCGATATGTCAACTAGCTCTTCCGAAACGGTCTCCAGAAGAGCATGATGTAAAAAAACCGCGCATAAATTCTCTAAAGTTTAGAAAATCATTAAGAGGGAACCAGTGTTTTGAATTGAACAAAATTTAAGGCACACGTCCGTCGTCGTACGACGTGGACGAATTGGCAGATCTCCAACCAATAGAAACACTTTTCTACCATCATATATATACCAAAACGGCTTTGCCCAGGCCTACCATATCTTGCATATCAGTACATTGAGGTTGTTATTGTTCCAGCACCAGGTCGTGTGGGTTTCATGTGAAGGTGAAAACGTGGCCGATAAGGAGCATATAGGCCCAGTCCGGTACATCCCTCAGAAGGGCTTCCCGTCCCAATATTTCCCTTACACGAACCAGGAAGGGTACCTGAGCCCCTTGGTGGCTGTGCACTTCGAAAAGCCCAAGCGTAAGTGGAACCCGACGCATTCACACTTTCTTCAAATTAACGGAGTCGATGTGAATTCTAGGAGGAGTTTTGATCAACATCGAGTGCAAAGCCTGGGCTAGAAACATTGTGCATGACCGAGTGGACCGAAGAGGGTCCGTTCACTTCGAACTCATGATTGATTAAGTGACGAATTGAGTAGAAGACAACAGAAGGAGGAGGAGGAGGAGGAGGTTTACGTACACATCCCTATATGATTTCACTGGGCGCCTAACGTAGCGCTTCAATTCCTCATTGCGCCTAATCTACTTAAAACAAATAGACTATGAGTGTGAAGCGAGGAAAAGTGGTGCTTAACTCAAAGCAGCAAAGTACTTAGATTGTTTCGTGTTCACTCTGTAAATACTCGCTTGAACAAGCTCAAAGTACTCACTACTTTAGATCAAGCAATCGCTTTTGTATGTATGTTACGGAATTTATTCTCCTCGTTGGTGATTTAAGGGCCAGCCCGTCTCAACAACAGGGTTTTCCGCGGGAATTTCGCTCTGACTGTTGCTCAGACGGGCCCAATTTCACTGTTATAATGTTAGACATTTAAATTAACTCTATTTAAACAAATAGTATTATAAATAAGAAACCATTGTTATTAATTATGATAGGATTTAGGCGTTCTAGGCAACAAGCTTCTCCGGGGGAAAGTTTCGCTAATCGGATACCGTAACTATCAGGCAATATCGATAACGCACAAAGCTCGCATTGGACTGAAGCCAAGTGTTGTTTAACGTAAAACCCAACCCCCGGCATTACGTTACTCCGATCTATAAATACGTCGCTTTTAACCTTCTAGAATACTCTATATGTACAATACTTGCTAGAATTATCAGTGTAACTTCAATAAGGACATGGATGGGCTTTGAATTGAAGCCAGTAACGCCCGTTTCTTCAGTAGAAGGTGCCACCAGAGCCACGTGTAGGCGCATGTTGTTAAATCTTAACCTCTTCTTGTTAATACACTGAACCGACTTTACTTTCCTGTGGCTGTAGAGGAGTTTTTTATCGTTAACTACAACACTCTAGGGGCATTAATGTAGCTAATCGATGGATTTGCGTAGGGATGAACTAGAGAGATAAATATGTAAATGTTTCCAAACACCACTCGTATGTTTTATTTCGTCTGTGTGGACAGATTCAGGGGTTTTGGCCAATTCGGGGGTTATTCAGATGAGAGCAGAAGTGAGGAGAATAATGAGTTGATATTAGTAGACAAAAATCTCAGGCACCCGCAGAATTAGGTTTGAACAAATGGACAAAAATTGATTTGCGAGCTCATTTTAAAATCAAGTTAACTATTCCGGCGCGGTTATTGGTGCGAGCAAACACTAGTTCCCTCTTAATGATCTTTTAAACTTTGGAGAATTTATGTGCGGTTTTTTTTACATCATGCTCTTCTAGAGGCAGTTTCTGAAGAGCCAGTTGACAAATCGAGATACTGGGCGCTACACTATATAACCAAAGCTTCATTTTACGTGTGGCTCAAATTTCGTTCAATTCAAAACACTAGTTCCCTCTTAATGATTTTTTAAACTTTGGAGAATTTATGTGCGGTTTTTTTTACATCATGCTCTTCTAGAGGCAGTTTCTGAAGAACCAGTTGACAAATCGAGATACTGGGCGCTACACTAAATAACCAAAGTTCCATTTTACATGTGGCTCAAATTTTGTTCAATTCCAGACACTAGTTCCTTCTTAATGATTTTTTAAACTTTGGAGAATTAATGCGCGGTTTTTCATTTTTACATCATGCTCTTCTAGAGACAGTTTCTGAAGAGCCAGTTGACATATCGAGATACTGGCTACAACAATGTATAACCAAATCCTCATTTTACGTGTGGCTCAAATTTCGTTCAATTCAAAACACTAGTTCCCTCTTAAAGATTTTTTAAACTTTGGAGATTTTATTCGCGGTTTTCCTTTTTCACGTCATGCTCTTCTAGAGACAGTTTCTGAAGAGACAGTTGCCATATCGAGATAATGGGTACAACACTGTATAACCAAAGCTCCATTTTACATGTGGCTCAAATTTCGTTCCATTCCAAACACTAGTTCCCTCTTAATGATTTTTTAAACTTTGGAGAATTTACGCGCGGTTTTTCATTGTTACATCATGCTCTTCTAGAGGCAGTTTCTGAAGAGCCAGTTGACATATCGGGATACTGAGTACAACCCTCTAAAGCCTTAAAAAGCTTGACCTTACATGGGGCTGAACTTTGCTTCGATTGAAAGCTCTAGTCTTTTGCATACAATACATGTATACATACATTTTCGGAAAATGTGAGTGAAAACCAATGAAACTCAGGCAGATAATAGATACGCTTTATTAATAAATTTTAATCAAAAAGTTCGCTTTACGATGATATACTTAAATCTGATTATACACACTTACAGTAGGCTTAAAACATAGGAAGTCGTACGACGTAAATAAACTGTATACTTAATATAGAAATGATTTGTTTAAAATATGGTCTCTATCCTTAACTCTACCGACATAATGCAAAAACTTAACAATAAATTAACGTTAGAATACATAAGGTATGTATGTATATGAATACTCTGAAAAATAAATTATCTAAATAAAGAAACGTGTGTGTGTGTGTGTATTTTGGTATTTATACTCTTGTTCATTCTAGTGTTTTTCCTCCAAGAAAAATATATTGCTCACACTCTGAATAAAAAAATACTATCCTATATAATATACAATCTTCAAATCAAGTCTTTGACGTACAAATTGTGATATTGGTAACCTACTGAACAATTTTCCTCGAAACTTCTACTAATATCATTCGTCGTGCCATTGAATATGTAGAAGGCAGGAAAGGGGCTTTTTTTGATTTGTATGCGGACTAGACATGAAACCTTCTTCTGGCAATACAGGGCGATTAAAAATACCTTTGCAACGTTTGAATCGCCCTGTTCGTACAATAAATGAAAATCTCGCATCAACTAGTTTGACGAGTTACGAACTATGGTGAACAATATATCGAGAGCAAGATTGTCATACGGAAATTTACAGTGTAACAACGCAAAAAACTAGAGAAATTCAACAATGTTCTAAAGAAAAATCTTATAAATATACGTGAAAATTTAATAACAATTAAAACTGCAACTGGGGGGTGGCTGCCAGCCCAGTTCTTACACGTTAAAATTACTGGAATTTCACAAACACCAAAAGCCATAATAACTGTTACTTAAAAAATGGCAGTTCGCTAACACGCTCGGAACCCTTTTGGGTGCGTTTTTTTTTTAATCGCTGTCCGAGCTTAGCACAACCTACAGAGAGAAAAGGGCGCTCTAAATATGGCTTTAATACATTCTAAAACTGAGTTTCGACTCCCGTTTGAGTGTTTAAGGTAATGTAGCGCAACGTTCACAATGTATATCTTTTTTGAGATCGTCCTAAATACAAGTCTTTTTTACATTCAACTGAGGCACGCTTTTCTGATCTGTGCTCGTTCATTACAAGGATGTTCCACCATGTTTCAAGTCCCAAGAAGCAATTGAGCAACGCACTCTTGAGGAATGTGGCAATTTTCCGAAAACACCCGGTATTTTGCAGGATTGTCCGCCAAATAAACGAAGAGTATTTTTTCCTGTGTGAGTAGTTAGTAGTCAAAAGCGAACAGTTTTTCAGTGTATCGTATGTCGGTTTGAGTTGAGTTGCAGTTCAAATTACCATTATTCTCTCCAATAAAACGTGATTAAAATTTTGCGAGGTTTCAACCAAAAAAATGCAACTACACTGAGAAACCTGCTTCGTCCCTTGAACGGTGGAACAGCCTGCATAAAGAACCATCGAAAACCCAAGGGGCGTCCTTTGGGATGGCTTGGAGACGATTGATATTGAGTAAAAGGCAAAAATGTAGTCGCTCCAACACCTCAAAGAACGCCCGCCGGCACTTGATGTCGACTCGACCCACTCTCTAGTAATCTCATCTACCAGGCAACAATAACTACGACAAAACACGAGTTATACGAACGAACAACCACGTGGAAAGAGGCTTAAATTACGAATTGAAAAACGATTGCTCCGAGTTGAAAGTGGGAATAAATCGTCCAGTCCAGGCCAGCTCAGGAAGATCAGAACTGCGCTTTCGGCTAGTCAAAGTCTTCTATTCATGTCGCATTAATCTGCTATGGCAGCGTCTGGCAGGCTCAAGTAGAATTTTTGGTCCTTCGAGCGGGATTTCGCGCCATCAAGCGGCAGGTGTTTTTAACCGGCTTTAATGCCAGATCTTGGACTTTGGACTGTTCTGGGGTCTTGGGGATATGTTTCTGGAAATGTGCTGAGCCCGATTCTTCGCTTGGTTATGTACAATAAAATGGCAATGGAGTCTGTTCGGGGAGAAGCTGTAGTTGGGAGGATTGGGGAAGAACTGTCTACCGCTATAACACAGAATTATCGCGGCCGACTAGACTCTAGCTCCAGTTTGCGACGTTTCGGACAAAGCTGAGGCAACCGACGTCAGACAAGCCTCTTGTACTTTAGTCGGATTGAGATCGAGGGCTGCAACGACCGCTTAAGCCCTGTTTATAATAAAATGGTAAAGAACACGCGCTCCCACCCAGGTGGGCGCTAGTGTCAGTGGGAGTCCACGTGCGGACGTCGTCCGAACGCAGATCAGTCTCCAAAACGTGAGCAGGCCTTCTTCCATTTGCACTGAGTGCACCATTGCTCTCGATGGTCCATTCCGTAGACTTTTCGGCACTTTTTGTTCTCCCCGCGGACGCGCCGGGGCGAAATCGGCATCTTGGGGCTGTGTGGGCGGGGCGATAGCTTCAGCAACTTGTGGGGGCTTTGCGGTATGGTGGGGGGGCCGGACAGCAGGCTTTGGCGCATGGTGCCCACTAGTTGGCGCTGATAGTCCGGGTCCTCATGGGGTGGGCGCGCCATGTCGCGGTGCGACAGTGTGGGCGGTGGGCTGGTTAACCCCAGCTCGATCTCTGTATAGTAGAACTCCTCTTCTCTGGGAGATACACTGGAAAGCAACAATGGAAACTGTTAGAAACCAACGGGTGTTCTGCTCGGGTGGGCGCTTTTCACGTGGCATTTTGATAGGAAAACTAAGTTGCTGATCAAGGCAAAGCGAAATGGAAACGTGTGGGCGCTTTTCCAGTGATACTTGCCCACAATTCGGTTAGTTTTAGGTCGATTTTCGAAGGGAAACTTCCAATTTCGAGAGAATTGAAAAAAGACTAAAATGCCAATAGAATTAAAGCCAGTGGCTCGGAGTGGGCGGTTTTCAAGTGACAATCACTCACATACTTTTAGGTCGAGTTTTTTGGAAAACTGCACATTTTCCACAAAGCGAGCGCATTAGACTATTTTTGAAATAAACATCCACTCTGAATCGTCAAAGTCGTCGATGTTTCAACTTTGAGACCATTTTCGTGTATCATAAAATCAAACAGTTTCAATGAAAATTATGGGGTTTGAAAGCCTCATTTATTCTCCATCGATGGGCGTTTGTCCTAAATCGATCGCATAATAACTGAATTTTTGACGATTTTTAACGATGAAGACAAAGCGCAATGGAAACCTGTGGGCGCTTTTCAAGTGAAATTTTCCTAAAATTCCGTTAGTATTAAGTCGATTTTCAAAGGAAAACTTCCATTCCATATTCAACTGACCATCACTCAGATACTCTTAGGTCGAGTTTTTCACGGAAAACTGCGCATTTTCCAAAAAGCGAGCGCATTAGACTATTTTTGAAATAAGCATCCACTCTGAATCGTCAAAGTCGTCGATGTTTCAACTTTGAAACCATTTTCGTGTATCATAAAATCAAACAGTTTCAATGAAAATTATGTGGTTTGAAAACCTCATTAATTCTCTATCGATGAGCGTTTGTGCTAAATCGATCGCATCATAACAATTTTGGGCAAATTTAGGAAAACCGGCGGTTTTTTCTAAAATCACTAATAAACGAGTTATTGAGAGTTTCCTCAGATTATGATCTACTGCACGCTCGCCTTTAAAAATTCGTAACTTTTCAATAAAAGCCGGCCACAACCGGAAACTTTTCATTCAAATCACACTAAAATCCTAGTTTTGCGCGCTTTGGAAACGCAAGTAAAAAAATTGAGTTTTTGCTTCACTGCAAGCTCGCCTTTAAAAAATCGTAACTTTTAAGTAAAAGCCGCCCACAATTGGAAACTTACGGCCAACATAGACGGTTTTCGATGCTAAAACCTCTGAAATTTTCATTCAAATCACACTAAAATCTGATTTTTCCACGCTTTGGAAACGCAAGTAAAAAAATTTGAGTTTTTGCTCAACTGCACGCTTGTTTTTGAAAATTCGTAACTTCTCAGCTAAAGCAGGCAGCAACT